GGGAGGGGGAGCATGGGAGGAATAGACGAACTCTAGATAGGGCAGAGGGGTGGGAGGGGAAGGGAGGGAGCAGGGGGTTAGCAAGGACGGTGGAATGTAATGGACATCATCCAAAGTATATGTATGAAGACATTAATTGGTGTGAACATACTTTATATACAAGCAGAGATATGAAAAATTGTGCTGTATATGTGTAAGAAGAATTATAATGCAAAAAAAAAGAGAGAAAGAAAGAAAAGAAAAAAGATTCTATTGCAAAAAAAAGAAAAGAAAAGAAAAGAAAACCTTAGAATCTCAACATGGTAGGTAGTTTTAGCAGATGGTCTTCCAGGCAATGTATATTAATTATCAGCATTCAGTCTTTTACTCCAGCACCTGCCAGGGCTGTCCTGGGTTTCCAACGTGCACATTCAGAGACCACTAGGTGAAATCATTGCATGGATCAGAGCACTGTTCATTTCCTCACCTAGCACATCAAGGTACCTTGTGAGAAGGGATGAGGAAAAAGAACAGGTGAGGGAAGAATGGGGCTGTCCTCCTTCTCAATGTCAGAGTCACATGCATCAGGGATGGAAACAGTTAGTTAGAACTCAGAGCTCAGTGACAAATAGGATATTTCTTGGCCAGAATTCTTAAATGCAGGCAATAGAATCAACTCTATCTAGTTCAATCACTGAGAGATTTTTTAAGGAGTGCGTATAGCTCAAAGAATCATTGAGCAGGATGGTAAGCAGGCTTTATTCTCAGCAGAAATTCCAGGAACAACTCCTAAAACAACACTGCAGAGCTGGGCTGCCAAGGAAGTTGCTTTTTCTACATAATGAGACAGTGATTGGTCCAGAACCACTTTGCTTTGATTTATAGGGAGTTTCCAGATCAAGAAGCCAATCAGAAAGCCATTCCTGTAGCTGTAGAGCCTAGAACTACAACTATCTACCCTGGTCTATATCAGAAAAAGTAATGCCTTGCACTCTGCTTTTTCTTCCCAGATAACTCAATTCATAGTTGGATACAAATACAAGTTCAATTGAATGGTAGGTCCTAAATCATATGCAGAATCTTCACTATTAGTCTGAGAAGTTTGGCACACACATCCCAGAGAGGGTTGGGTGAGAAATGAGCAAGGTAATTCTCAGGAGTGCCACAAACCACCACTTTTACACTCAACATTCATACACACCTTTTCTTACACTTCAATTTCCTTTTTAATAATATTTATTTATTTATTGTGGTGCTAAGGATAGAACCCAATGCCTCGCATGTTACTAGGCAAGCTCTTTACCACTGAGTCACAACTCCAGCCTTAGACTTAAATTTCTAAGCAACAATAACAACAACCAATGTTTCTACCTATATTCATCAGGGTTCTCTAGACCAACAGAACTGATAGTATATATTTATTGGAAAGATTAACTCATGGGATCACGGAGGCTGACATATCCTAAGATTTGCAGTTAGCAAGCCGAAGACCTAGGAGAACGGATGGTTTAGTTTCAGCCCAATAACAACAGTCTTGAGACCCATAAAGCTTATACTGCAGTTCCAGTCTGAAGGCAGGATAAAATCCAGTGTCTCAGCTCATAAGAAGTCAGGAAGTCCCTCTTACTCACAGGAGGGTCAACCTTTTTGTTCTGTTCAGGACTTCAAGTGAAGGAAGACATTATAGAGAATGTTTTATATAGCATCAAATCAAAGGTTAATCTTATCTAGAAACATCCTCTGAGACACATTTAGAATAATGTTTAACCAAATGTCTGGGCATCCCAAGGCCCATTCAGGTTGGTACACAAACTAACCCCTTTGCTGCCTAATCAAAGTTATTATCTTGGAACTTATAAAATTGCTGATATTTTACCTTTTGACCTAATAATATCAAGTTTGTATGATTTAATAGTTCCTATGGCTAAAGTACCATGTCAAGCATATACCCACACTTACCCTCTCCAGAAGAGCATCCATCTCTCAGTAACAGTTATTCCTCCTCTAGTTCATTAACAATCCAACTTTATTATCCTCTGAAATATTAAATAAATTAGGAAGATAACATCAACTTCAACAGTAAAACAAAGAGCAAGAAGGATAAAAAAAATGGTATACATATGATAGCACAGTTATAGATAAGGGCAGAGGAGAGAGAGGAAGAATGGAAGAAAACATGGGAAACTCTTACAACCTTCATTTCTGTAAATACTCAACCAAGGTTACTTTTGGTATTTATAGTTTCTTCCCTCTACAATAAATTCCTTTGCCCTAAACCACAACTTCATTTGCTCAAGATTCTTCTCTTAGTGGGTTCCCTGAATAGTTATTCCTGAGGATTGTAGTCCTGGATCTTTTTGCCTCTGCAAGGTTATTATATTAGACTTTACTAGTTATCGTCATAGATATTCTCATTTTAAGAGGTTCCCCTCAGGCATCTATTTCTTTCTGCCCTCATTGTGTAATAATCTTTTTTTCACCTTGATCATCAAGACCAATTGCCCAGGTACAAGACAACTCCCTTTTTGGCTCATTGTTACAATGGCACGAAGAGCCCCAAACCACCTCAACTTCTAGTTCAATGCAGTCATTATTATATCCCCTGGAGAATCAATACTTTTTTTTTTTTGTACCAGGGATTGAACTCAGGGGCTCTCAACCACAGCCACATCCCCAGCCCTATTTTGTATTTTATTTAGAGACAGGGTTTCACTGAGTTGCTCAGCACCTGGCTTTTGCTGAGGCTGGCTTTGAACTCACATCTCAGCTTCCCAAACTGCTGGGATTACAGGTATGTGCCACCGTGCCCGGCTAGAATCAATACTTTTAAAGCTGCAGAATTTAAAGTTTCAGGAACGGGATACAAACACTTAGCAAATGGGCAATCATACATGAGATCGAGCAAGAGTTTACTGCTTGGTTCCTGTGGTTGAGTATTCTGACTGGCTATGGGAGAACTGTCACCACTAATTTGCTGTTGACTCAGATCATATGCTACAACCCAGGTAGATGTTATCTCCTGGCTCGTGCTGTCACTGGATTTTAGTGGTCATTTCTCTGTTCCATGAAGCCATCTGTTTCTGGATGAAGGGCACTTGGTAAGATCAGCGAATCCTGTGAGCATGAGCACTTGACCTGACTTCTTTTCCTGTAAACCAAGTTCCTTTGAAAGGAGCAATATAGTGTGGGGTACGGTGATGGAGAAGAAGGCATTCAGTAAACCCATAGAGGGTTCTGCCGGCAGGAGAATGACAGGCAGGGAAAACAATTTCACATCTTGTGCTTTTAGCTTTTGTCACAATGAGAACAAATTCTGCTCTACTTCTGCTATGGATTGAATGTGGTATGAGCATGTTCCCCCAAGTTCATTGTGCTGGGAGCTTCGTTCCCAGTGTGATAATGTGGAGGTGATGGAATATTTAAGAGGTGTGGCCTAGTGGAAAGTGAATAGGTCATTGGAGATACCACCCTCAGCAAGGGTCGCAGTTTTTGTGGGATTCCTTGTTACTTCCCTCAAGAGGGCCCCTTCTCTGTCACATTGTGAAGCAGCTAGGGGACCCTCACTAAAATGCCAGTCCAGTGTTGTTTGGACCCTCAAGCTACTATAATCATGAACCAAATAATCTTCTCTGATTTAGAAAGTACTCAGCTTCAGGTCTTTTGTTAAAGCAGCAGAAAATGAACTAATACAATAACCAATAAACAAATTCCTCGCATGGAGTTCAATTTTATAATCTTATTTCTCTACTCATAAATATGGAGCATAGAAGTTGCAGTTATCAAACAGAATAGAGAGCTGTTACAAAAATTTTAAGACAACTATGCATACAGATGCACTGTTTCAGCTGGCCTTAAACTACGGACCAACAATTCTGTCCCCGGTCACCCCTTCCTCTCATCCATTTCTGCTTTTTCAAACTATGACCACTTTTTTTTTTCCAAACTTAGTACTAAGTCCTTTCCATTCACTCTTAGAAGATGATGAACTTTCCTCCTCCTTTAAGGAAGATACCGAAGTCCTTAAACCACATTCCCACATGTCAAATAATTTCTTTTAGAATCAGAGAACTAATTTAAGGCTAAAATCTTCACCTGAATTCTAACTCTCGTCTCTTTCATATTCTTGCTTCGTCAACTATCCTGTTTGGGTTGCTCAACCTTGCGGTATCCATATGCTTCATGTTTTACATTGTTCATAGGTAAAGGTTTAACCCAACTGAAAGTAATTGCCACAATTAAAAAATTAAGGAAATCCCTTCATCCTACATGGCCCTGTAGCTACTACCTGATGCCTTCTCTTCAGTTAAATCTTTTCAAAAGAAAAGTCTGTAACCAGCATCTCACTTTTCTTCTGTTCCTCAACCTGAATCATTTGGTTTTTTATTATCTGAAACTGTTTAGGGTATGACTTTTGGACCCACTATGCATTGGCCAAACTCAATGGCCCATTTTATCTCTGTCATATTTGCCATCTCTATGGTGGCCAACAGTGTTGATGACGGTCTTCTGTCTCCTTCCATGACTTTTTTCCAAGGATCACCAGTTTTGGACTTCTTTTCTTTTTGTACTCTTGTGCAATGTCCATCTACTCTAGAGTGGTGCCTTCTGCTCTCTTGTTTTAACTCTCCTTACAAGTTGGCGACTCTCAAATCTCATGCCTTTGGTATTGACTTCATCATGGATTTCAGATCCACCTCTCCAGTTGCCCGTGAGACATGGCTGGATTCACACAAACGCCCTCACATCAGGTTTTGGAGTGAAATCATCTCCCTCGCCTACCAGTGACCGTTGATGTCATCAGGGGAAGCCAAGTCGCAGTGAACCGCGATGTGGTGGAATGTTTGTAGGGGAAAAGGCCCTGTGAGGGAGGTGTCGCAATGATCTAGAGAACATGGTCTAGTGGAAACAGACGAGAAGACACAAGCTCAAGGACACACAGTCTGGAAGACAGCCTACAGGGCACTGATTCAAGGACACAGTCTAGAAGGCACAGATTCAATGTATGACACAGAAGCCAGAAGCGTTGTAAGACAAGAAGCACTTGAAGAGGCGACAGAGGTCTAGGCTGTAGCTGAAGATATGAATCTGGGGAAAGGAGAAGAGTTAGAGGCTTCACACCTGGAGTGGTCATCATGGGCTTGAAGGACCACTTCCCTCTAGGTCATCTGGCAGGACAAGGTGAGGAACATTAGGGGTAGATGCTGTCCAGAATTAGGAAAGTAAAGTTTGAAAATTACATAAATGTATAACCTTTATCTCCCCAGTATCCTAAATTGGGATCAATGGTGGAAATACCAAAGCCTCAGGATATGAGACTCTTTTCACAGAAACTTTATGAGAGATGTCAGGCCAGTAGAAAGAGCTACTGGTACTCATCAGATAATGCAATTGTTTTCTGTATGGGAGCCTTCAATCCCCAATGAGTAGGTGGCTCTTTGAAGGCTGGGATCATGGCACTTGCATTTATTACAACTGCTTTGGCATCCAATAGTGTGATGGATACATTGAGGGTCCTTCAACAGAGAATATCTGAGTAGAACGGACCAAATAGTTATGCCTATTGTATACCTAATTTCTGTTAGCATCCCTTTCTTCTTTTTACTGAACCAATTACAGTTTGTCATCTGAATTGGGGAATGACTGGGATTGGGGACTTGGTAAAGAAGGGGAGAAAAGAAGAGAAAATATCCTACTAAATACTTGAGAATTCTTCCCTTCCTACTTTCCTTCCTTCCCTCCATGAAACCAGTTAAAAGGGATTCATTTAAGATAGTTAGATTTTAACTGGAAAATGCATAAAAATAGAAAAGCATGTATGACTATTCTGTGTTGTGTTGGCAGTGTTAGATCACAGAGCAGACAAAGGTGTCAGTGAAACTCCCAGCACCTGAACCTGGTGTCAGGTTATCACCCCATGATCCCCATCAGTGGACTTTACCTCGCTTGTGGAGAAGCTACAATCTTCTGAATCACCCCTTGAATGGTGCATCAGTCTCCAAGGAGCACCCATGGCATTTGGCGCTACATGAACAGTGTGGAATTTCATTTTTCTCTGTCCTTTTTACTAGGTTGGCTTCTCCTTATCACTGGTGTGTCCTGTCCTGCCCAAAGCAATCAGCATAATTCTGTCAAAGGTGAGATCGGTTTCTGATTTTTATCTCTAAATTGTGTAAGGAGAGTTGGCATTAACAAGCCTTAAGTCTCTCCTGTGGATATGTGTCAAATGCACTGCAAGGTGAGAGGAGCTATAATCTTATAAATTACAGGGCGGTGGACTTGAACCACAGAGCTGGTGTGAGGGTGGTGGTGATGATGGCGTAAAATGGATGGGAAATTAGTTGCACTGCGAAGTGTTCTCTTTCTCTTCCCTGTAGTCCATTTTCTTCTTCCAGTGTTTTTCCCTGATTGACCTGTCTACACCTGGGTTCCCCCTCTTGACTGTCTAGGCTGCTTCGGGAGAACCCTGGTTTGGGGGCTGATTCCCTGAATCAACTGCTAGCAGGCATGGGGCTGTTGCCCCAGAACGTCTGGACGTTGGGAGTCATGACCCTCCATGGTTCCTGGGACAGGGCAGCTTTAAATTGAACCCCATCCCAGGAGACCCAAATGACACATCCAAAGCCTCAAAGACTAAAGAGGCAAAGCCCTTCTGGTGCAATTTCCTGCTCTGACCAGAGGTTAAGAAAAAATTTGGTGGGAGAAAGGAAAGATCTTTCAGAATCCCAAAGTCACACTTTGTAATTCTGACCTTGTTTATTTGGGCTTTTTGCCTGTGAAATCTCTTCAGTTCAGGTCAAGAAGGCTTTCTCCTTCTCCTTCTCCTTCTCCTTCTCCTCCTCCTCCTCCTCCTCCTCCTCCTCCTTCTCCTCCTCCTCCTTCTTCTTCTTTTTCCTTTGACCTAATATTTTCCAGACACTAGGCAAGAAACTAGAAATATACAGATGAGTAATATCAAAGTCTCAGCCCTTTCAGTGAAAGACAGATTTTTTAACGAGAGAATGACGATATTGTTAATGTACACTTGGTGGCTTCATGCTAAAACATGAATAAAATAAATGAATCTCATTTGAAATGGTCAGAAAATGTGAAGCTCCCAAAATTACCCAGGGGTCCTGGAGCAATGCTGTGTCATAACGCTGTCCATATGAACATCAGGGCAGGTTCCCAAAAGAAGAACCTGAAGAGGAAGCATCAAGTCATAGTTTTTAAAAAATCTCATAGGGCTATGAGGACAAAGGGACAGTGGCTACCTTGGCTTGGAGAGTCTTGGTCACAGAGGCAGTAACCTTTATGAGATGAATAGGGTTTTCTTAAACTGGGAAGGGAAGCTGTCATTCAAACAATGGGAGCAACAACGCATAAAGTATCTGTGCTCAGGAGTCTGCACGCGTGTACCTATGTGCACACACACTTATTCTAAAAAAGCAGAAAACGGTCCCGAGGTGAGCTGAATATGAGACCCAGGCACATGATTCCTGTCATCAAAAAAGGACAGCATTTCCAGGGATGCCTGAGGCTACGGAGGCAGAATACCATCTGTCCACTGTGAGGAGTGCTTTGAGAGTTGGGGAGCACAGCGAAGGGTGGGGTACACCTGATGTACAGAAGTTCTCTTTGAGCAGGGCATTGGGGGATAAGCAAGCTTTCAAAAGTCAGAGAATAAAGGACATTATTCTTTCCTCTGTTCTCACCAGGGGCACTTTGTGTCAGTGGAGTCATTCTGTGCCTCTGTACTCAACAGTAATATGAATATCCTACCATAAATAAGAGCATATTTTAAGGATATATGAGAGAATGTGCCTCCTGAGCCCCCTCCTTCAAACTTTCAGAGGCCTCTTCAGGTCTCTTACTTAACCGGGCTCCTACTAGTTTCCTGGGATGTTCGAATTCACCAAATCACCTTGAAAATGGCCAGAGGATGTCAGGCTTGGTGGCACACGCCTATAGTCCCAGCAGCTCGGGAGGCTGAGGCAGGAGGATCACAAGTTCAAAGCCAGCCTCAGCAATGATGAGGTGCTAAGCAACTCAGTGAGACCCTGTCTCTAAATAAAATACAAAATAGGGCTGGGGATATGGCTCAGTGGTTGAGTGCCCCTGAGTTCAATCCCTGGTACCCTCCTCAAACCCCCCCCCAAAAAAAAGAAAGAAAAAGAAAATAGCCAGAGGACACAAAGCTTCAAATAATAAGCAAGGTCTCTAGAATAAGATTGCTGAGTAATGTTGTCTATATAAATATCAAATGCAGTTCCCAAGTGATGAACTCTAGGAAGCATAAAGTAGTAGAATAAGACGACTCAGGCAGTGAGTCCCAGAGTTTACGGACTGTGATCAGACCTATGGTATTGGTATCAAGTACTTATTGTGTGTCATGAATTACAACAAGGGCAGCAATCTCCAGAAACTTATGAGGAGGTTCAAAAGAAAAGATGTAAATACACAACAAAAGAAATAGCAATGCAAGCCTAAACAGAGATCTCTCAAGACATAACTGATTGAGGATCAAGTTAGTGGTAGAATCTCCTTGGAAATGGAAGGGGTCAGTTTACATTAGAGGATTTTTCTGGCACCTGTTTTTAGATCCATCATTTCATGCTTCTGCCAATAAGTATTTTGAGATCAGAATTTTATCATCTAAATAGATTTTCTTCTCTTCCTCTGATTACTTTAAGATCAGAAAATAATTCCAAAAAACAACACTTGTGTGGAATTAAAGATCAGGTATCTATAATAGCAACTGCACGATTACCTGCAACCTCTGTGCAGGGCCCATTATGATGTGCAGAGAACTAACTGCTACGTGTCTGGAGCTCCTTGACTTATAAACAGGTTAGGTTCTTCAGGTTGTTCTTAAATCTGGTTGTTGGCAAGTTCAGAATGTCTCTGAAAAAGCATCACTGGGCTTTTTCTTACCTCTGTTAATTTTCTTTCTAATTTCTATGTTGGTCTCCATAGTATATCTGTCTTTTGTTACTGGTACCTTCAACACACTTTTCGTTTTTTAAATTATGTCAGCTGTTATGAAGCTAAAAATAAGATGTCTTCCACCCTCCATTGACAGAGGTCAAATGGGCTTTGGTCTTGGGTAGCACTTGGCTTTCCCCATATACAAGGCTCAAGGAGGATCCTTGAAACTCACAGTCACTTATAGACGTTAGGATTAGCCCCTGTGCTCAGGAATTAAGAATTAAGTTGGCTTCCTAAGCCAACTATGTCCCCATTTTTTGGGGTTCAACATGGGTCCTGAAGTACCCACTTCTCTCAACCTTTTAATCCTTACAGCTTTGTCACCAGTATGTGACCAAGGTCCAGCAGGACTATTTGGATCATGCCTTCTAGTTAGTATCCACAGGAAGTCCAGTCTCATAGATCACTTCTGATTTCCTGAATCTGGCTTTGAACTTGTGATCCTCCCTCCTCTTGCCTCAGCCTCTAGAGCTGCTGGGATTACAAGTGTGTGCCACCATGCCCAGTATAAATCCCAATATTCTAATTTTTTTTTAAATTTTTAGTTGCAGACGGACAAAATACATTTATTCATTTATTTATAGGTGGTGCTGAGAATTGAACCTAGTGCCTCATATGAGCTAGGCAAGCAGTCTACCACTAAGCCACAACCCAAGCCCCGTAAATTCCAATATTCTTAGTGTCTTCTTTTTACCTAAGTCTCCACTGAGAATGGTGCCTCCTCCGCAGTCTCTCAAGGGCTGGCCCTCTTTCTCCCATAGCCTTTGCACCACTGGGCCTGCGTGGCAGAGAGCTGGGTGTTGTGATTCCCATTGCCTCTGAAGACCTTTTCCCAACTCTCCTCCCTAAACTTTGCCAAATTGGAATCTCCTATTAGATTATTGCACATTATTTCACTCTACGCCCTTCATTGTTGCTGCCATGCCTTAAGTGGTCATTTCCTCTTTATTTTCTGGAGATTTTTAGCTCCTGGTTTGCTGTCACTCTCTAATTTTTCTCTTAATATCTGGGGATTCTGATAGATGATCTTTCCAATGCTGTGGGTTCTCCATTGCTTAACTTCCACTCTTCCAATGCTTTTGTCCCCTATGCTACTCTGCCACTCACTCTGATGTCATTTCCAGATCATCCATCACCAAATAACTGCAATTCCTCTTTATTTCAAGCTTATGCATGTTAATCTCAGTCCGCCACCTCCTATCTGCCCTACTCCGTCTCTACAGGAGCCTGAATCCAAGAGTTGAGAACCTGCTGGAATCACCCATTCACCTCATCCTGCCTCTGTTTTCTGATCTCCCCCTTTGGGATCCCCTTTCCCTCCTTACCCGACTCACACCCCATGGCTGATCATCATAATCACTACTCTGCAGAAGTGCTCAGATCTCCTGGTCTTTCTGACACAGTGTCCAGGTTTGACAAAGTCCAAGTGTGACAAAATCACAGCCGTGGTTAGACCCACTGTCCACTTGCCCACATCTGCACCTGTGCAGCCAGACCTGGCTAAAGAAAAGCACAGCTTATCCACAGGGTTCATGTTCAAGTCATGACTATAATCCTCGGCGACACCTTTAATGCTGTCACTGAAATAGTATGTGGCCCGTTCCCAGTCACCCTCCCACAATCCTAAGTAATTAGTCTATAATTTCTCTTCTCTCGTCAAACTCTCCTGTCTCATCTCTCCCTCAGCGGACGGCCTTGCTTCGTGCTTCCTGAGAAAGCCTAAGCAGTCGGAAGGGAATCTCTGCAGACTGCACCGTCCCATCTGCTGCCTTCCCACGTCTGCACCTGCAGCCCCCGCCTTCCCAGCCACAGATGGACTCTGTGCTCCCTTCTGAAGTCACACTCGCTCGCAGTTTGTCGACTAGATCTTATCCCTGCTTTGCTCTCTGAAGGCTGTGGCTCCAGGTCTTTCCACCTCACCCTTGGTCACCACTATTTTTCCCTTTTAAAAAGACAAGTGAGCCCACCTTCCTCAGCAGCGATGGCAATCTTTTTGCTGCTCTTGCAGGAGAATTCATTGAAAGAGCTGGTTGTACTTACATATCCGTATTCTGCCCTCCCATTCTCTCTCTAAACAGCCTTTCCTACCCATTGCTCATCACAGGGGGCTTCTGTTATGGCTGCATCATGGCAGCTGGGAACAGCCAATGTTCCTCCTCATCTTAGTTGACTTGTCAGCAGCATCAGACACAGTGGGCCACTCCTTCTCCCAGGGCACAGCCTCAGTGGACTCCAGATACACATGCTGTCACCTTTCCTCCTATATCATGGATGCTCCTTCTTTGTCTCTTGACAGGCTACTCCCTGTCTTCTCGCAATGGCTCACCTCCTTTCGCTCCACTATTTTCCATCCATGTTCTTTCCCTTCGCCATCTCACTGAGTACCAAAGCTTAAATATCATCTGTGTACTGAAGTCTCCCAAACTTATAACTCCACCCCAGACTTTGCTCCAGCACTCAAAAAACACAACAAAACCCCAGACCAACTGCCTTCTTGACATCTCCACTTGGAATTTTGTCAAGTGTATTCTAAGGTGGCGTCCTTGACCCTTCTCTCCAAGCTGGTGCTCATCCCAGGCTGACCACTTTCAGCTGCCAGCAACCCCGTCTTTCCACTTGCTCCGGCCAAAAGCCTTCAAATACTTACTGCAATACCTTCCCATGAGGCCTACCTTGAAACAATAATATTTAAAAATTGGCCTGTTATTAAACTCCAGCTCACTCTAGCCTCCTTCCTTGTTCTACTTTGTTCCATAAGCCTTACCTCCTTTTATCATATTATATCATTTTGCTTCATATCATATCAATTGATGATTATCTATCTCCCTATTTTCACCCTGATAGATTGCCACCGCTATAAGGGCAGGGATTTCATTTGAGTTGCTCATTGATTTATCCTATGCATCTAGAATAGGGTCTGCCACATAGTGAGTGCTCAATGTGTCATTGCTGAATGAGTGAAATAAATTAGTTAAGTTACAGTGGCCAGACTAAAGGCAGAGAATAAAATCACCTTACATGGCCAGCAATGTCATCTCTTGGTAGTACACAGAGAGACATGAAGTCATTAAGTATGGTGCCTTGTACATGAGTATGAATGGGATGCTTGTAAGTAGGGGAGCTTCTGTGATTCCTTTCGGTGAGGTAGAATGAACTCAAACTCAGTTCAGTATCAGAGGAGAGCATAGTTCTCTTACCTTGTTTTCACTGAAAGTAACAAATGAGCTTTTGTTATTGAGCCTTATAATGTTCTCAGGCCTTTATGAGATTACTACTGAATACTGAATAGAGTGCTGAGCATTGTACTATGGGGTTATTGCTCTGCTAGTCGCCTGGGGCAAGGGCTGATGGCGACTCCCTTCCTCCCTGTCCTTTTCCACCATAGAATGCATAGATGTTACAATGGTGTCTGAGAAGTAACTTCAGATATGGCTGACTTGGGTGTGGGCTGGTGAAGAAGTGACAGAATGGAGCCGGTTTTCTCCTTCCCACACAGATGTTTATGTTCTTTTCCAGGCTGCAGATCTGAGCTGGCAACGGAACTTGTTTGGGTGTCCTGAATGCATGCACCTTGGAGAACTTCAGGAAAAATGATTTACCTTATTTTGGGGGGGGTGCTCTTTCAGCCATCCCTGTTTGTTTGACTGTATTGACTGATGGAAGTGAGTCAAAATGGTGATCTAGCTAGATGGACTCACAGAATTCTGTAGGTTACAGTGGTCAGTCTTGGGGGGGACAGGGAAAAACATTTTGGGAAAATGGGGATTGGATGGAAAAAAAAGGAAGGGAATTGTTTATGGAACCAAATGAAAATTCCTGGTATAAATAACTGTGGGTAGGAAGTAGGGTGTTGGGCACCCAGAGCTAGGGGGCCTGTCGGGAAAGGGCAGCCTGGAGAGAAAGAGGTGGTGGCTTCACCTGTGGGGGCTTACACTCAGCATAGCAGCCAAGGCAGAGTAGGGGAGTGGGTGAGGGACTTGGCCTACACACTGATTGCTCTCTTGACTCCCACACCCACGGGCCAAAGTTTCTCAAATTGTAGCCTTCAGACTATCTGCAAAACAATCACTTGGAGAACTTGTTAAAAATGTTGTCTTGAACCTTAAACCCCGATGCAGTACGGAGTAAGACTCAGACACTCGCATTTATGCACACACCCCAGATGGTTCTTTCCTGTGGTACAGTTTGCAGACCATGGTTGAGGCTTTGGACTACCTGTCCCTGGGGAAGTGACTTTTCTTCTGTGTTCCTTTTCCAGACGGCCACAGATTTGTTCCAGGGGATGACCCCAGATGTCCTCAGCAGCTGTGACTCTCTTGGGGCCCATACATTTAGCCCCACGGGAGGCCCCCAAACTACTTAACTTCAGGGCATTAGAAATGAAATACTTCACCCAGTCTTCCAAATCCAACTTCTCTGACACCCCCAACCCCTTTTTCATTCTATTCTTTTCTTCTCTCTCTCTCTCTTTCTTTTGCAACTGGGTTTAAAAACTCTGAACATTCCTACCTCCTCCTCTCCGTCAGTCTTTTCTCCACCCAACCAGTTCCGGTGTGAGTAGATTGTTCCTTCCTAGTGTCTCCAGTTTTCATGGAGTTCCCTCCAATTTCCTGTATCTGGGCTTAGGGCCTCCTTTCCTCAGGCTGACCGGGCTTTCCTGTGACTGTGGGATGCAGGACTTTCCAGGCTAACACTAGAAAGGTCCTGGGCAAGCTGGGATGAGTCGGACACCCTGCGCCTGGGCCACTACAGCGAGTTCTCCTGGCTCCCCCAGCAGATGGTCTTTCCTCTCCACAGGCCATTCCCTTACCATCTCCACTTGAATTTCATAATTTTGAATAAGTCGTGATTCATTCCCCTAAAACCTTCAGCCTTCAAGGACTTCATTTGCTTTCTAATGAGTTTAAATTAATTCCCGAAGCATTCAAGTCCCTAGTAATCTGACCCCAAAATGCCTGTCAGAGTCAGCTTGGGCTCACATCACAAAACACCACCACCATGTATCCCTTTCTGTTTTTCTTGAGGCTGGAAGTTCCAAGTCAACAGTTCCTGATGAGGGCTGCTTCCTGGATTGTAGATGGCTACCTGCTTACTTCATCCCCACATGATAGGAAGCAAGAGCTCGGGTCACACCTCCTCTTCTTATAAGGACACCAATTCCATTATTCTTGAGGCCCCATCCTCAGGACCATGTCTATTCTTAGTTATCTTCTCAAAGGTCCCACAGCCAGTACCATCACATTTGGGTTTCAGCCTATTAATTTTGGGGGGCTCCAAACATTCAGTCCATGCCCCTACCTCACTGGACTCATCTTCCAGGACTCTGCCACACAGATTTTGTCCAGCACTTCTCATAGAGCATTCTCATTTCTAGACCACTGTCTATGTTGTTGCCTGGCTCCAACTACCTTCTTGGCCCTATCTGAACATTTTGAAATCTTACTCATTGCTCGGATTTGAATGTGTTCCCCAAAAGATCATCTATTAGAGACTTAGTGCCCAGATTCACGTTCATGGTATTTGTAGGTAGACTCTTTAGAAGTAATGAGGGTTTGCTGAGGTCGTGGGGGTGAATCCTCCATGATAGCACTAGTGGTCTTGCAATAAGAGGAAGAGGGATATAAGCTAGCTGGCTTCTCTATGTCACCATAGGATACCATCCACCATGTTTCAATGCAAAAAGAAGGTTCCACCAGGGGCTGAGCAGAGGCAGGTGCTCTGTCCTTGGATTGCCCAGCCTTAAGAACTATGAACTAAAAAAGCTTCTATTTTTGAAATTCTTGAATCAATTATTTTGTTAATACCACAGAAGATGGACTGAGACATGTGACTTACACATTTATGAGACATCTAAGTCTAGTTCAAATGTCTCCACCTTTTAGACACCACCCTCCTGATCACCCACCCCAGATCAAGGTCCAGCTTCTCAAATCTTAACAATGTCTCCTTTAGGCCACTGTCACACACTGTCTTGGTGTGTGTACTTACTTGCTATCTATCTTCTCCCCCTACTCAACACTATATCCTCAAAAAAGAGGGATCTTTCTTATTTATTATTATCATTATTATTATTTTCCCTTCAATCTTGTCTGATAGATGATTAGAAAACACTCACTCAGGTTGAAAGAAGAGACGGATACCCTTCCATTATGTTTTGTTAGACTACAAACGTTGGCTTAGGAAGAGGGAAACATCAGAGTCACATATCACTATGGGGACGGACCTGCTATCGGGAGCATTAGCTTGATACATGATGATTATTAAGGATACATATGCCATTTTGAGTTCCCCAAAGACTAATGATTACTAAAACTAAGTGCATAGTGCTCTGTACCAAGCACTGTTCTCAACAACTCATGGGTGCTAACTCCTTTATCCTCATAGTAACACCATGAGATACTCCAGGACAGTCAGCTTTACCATTTACTAACAAGTATCCTTGGACCTGTTTACCTTAGTTTTCTAATTTGTAAATGAAGGGTAAAACTAGTACCTAATCCTGTAGCAATATTCGCAAGGGTTATTGTAATTATTCAATCCATGGCATTATCTATTACTTTATATGCCACTAATGAAGAAAAATTCCTGCCAATTAAACGTCATATACCATAGGTTGTTACCTGTGACCTGATTTTACAGATGTTAAAAATGCAAAATAACTTGTGTTCTAGAATTAGTGGAATGTGGTAAGTTGTATTAATGAATGATAATACTGTTATGGTCTGAATTATGTTTCCCCTGCCAAATCCATATGTTGGGGGTACTAACCTCTTGAACCTTTGAATATAACTGTATTTGGATGTAGGGTCCAAAGAGGTCATTCAGGTAAAATGAGTTCACATAGGTGGGCCATAATCCAATGTAAGTGGCATCCTTATAAGATGAGGAGATTTAGACATAGACATTCACAGAGGGAAGACCATGGGAAGATACAAGAAGGAGGAGGCCCTCTGCAAAGCTGAGGAGAGGGGTCTCAGGAGAGACCAACCCTATTTAAATCTTGTTCTCAAACTTCTAACTTTCAGAACTGTGAGGAAATAAATTCTTGTTTAAGACAACCAGTTTGAGGTTCTTTGTTATGACAGTACTAGCCAACTAATATAGCTATCTTAATAAAATTTTCTAAGACCACAGGGCAAAGAACTGAGCTATGGAATAATGCTATTTTAGAAGGACACCTACCAGCCCAGCCTCAGCAGGTTAGACCTTCAGTACAAGTTAGACCTTCTCTTCCACTGGGGACCCTGAGCAGTGTGTGGAAGTCCACTGTTGCTTTGGGGCTTGAGAGTTAGACGTGAGCTATTGCCATTAGCCCTTGACCCCTGTCCCCACTTTTTGTTTTTTTTAAACAATTTCATTTATAAGGGCATGAGGGGAGAGTGTCAGGAGTTTCTGAGTGACAATACACTGTCAGAAGACACTGATGACAATACAATGCCAAACTTAGCCCAGATCATCTTCAGCAAAAATGACAGTGGGTCCTTGACATGAAAAGGGTTTGTAACAGCAGAATGTCTGGATTAATGAAACCTGAAAATGGGATGGGGCAGCCCCTCCTGTCTGTGTTTTCTAGAGTGGTTTGACATTTGTGCATAGTATGAAGAAAGATCCCTAGGACTGAAATGTGTCTGCTGAGAGGCTTCGGCCCCTGTTTGCTAATCTCCTGTATGGTGAAACACTGGCACCCAGACAAGCCCTTATTCACATCGGAACAAAGCACTGGTTATGTGTGTCGAAATTCCTTGGAGAAAAGTCTTGCAGGCTGCTGGGGAGTGCATGAATGCTGGAAATACTTGACCAAGTTGTTGCTCAATGTCCTGGGAAGAGAGTCTGCTAGTTTCTGGAGGCTCACTCCAGAGAAGAGCTGCTGTACTCGAGGGCACGTGGGGCTGTTGAGGACAGAAGGAGTGTGGGCAGAGGAGTGGGTGGAGATGGGGCTGGATGTTTTCTCTGTGAGTGTCCTGGCCAAGCTGGAGCTGGCTCCACACTACCCACTCTGTGAATCCATTGAGAGCGTCTAAAGTCAGGCTTCTCACCAGGGCTGCCATCTCCTTTTCCTGGAACTAGATTTTTCGGTTTTCTGAGAGCTTCTGGGTAAGCTTTTGTTTCCTCATCTTTGACCTTGAGAAGTCAGAAGGTGGAGCAAGGGAGGAAAGGTTCCTTTTCTCTGATTTCTTAGAGGCTTTTGCATCAGCAACAAAGGAAATGACTTTGTTGAGATCCACCTGCAGGTCCTGATGTGGCCCATGGGTTAACTTTTCGCTCCACCAGGGTTAAATGTGGCCCCTGGAAAGACATTTCCCCATCTGAACCCTCAGAGTCAATGGATATAATCTTATTTGAAAAAGGGTCTTTCAGAGGTGATCAGATTAAAGACATTGAGATGAGATTATCCTGGATTGTTTCTCTGGAGACTAGATACAATGTCAATCCTTCTTACAAAGAGAAGAGGAGAAAGACAACAGAAAAAAAAAAAGGTGATGTGAAGGAAGAAGCAGAGACCAAAGCTACATGACCATAATCCAAGGAATACACCAAACCTCCAGAAACTGGAAGAGCAAGGAGGGATTTTCCATTAGCGTCTTCAGAGGAAGCACTGCCCCGTGACACTGTGACTTCTGGCTTCTAGAACTGTGAAAGAGTAAAGTTCTTTTGCTTGAAGCCACCAAATTGATGGCCATTTGCTGAGGGAGTTCTAGGAGATTAATACACTTGACTTAAGAGAAAAGACCAATGGACTTGGAATCAGAACTGAGTCTTAAATTGTTGGATTTTTTGTTTCTTGGATGAGGTATAAACTCTGAGTCACACTAGTCTCCATCTGGCTTGAATCACTCCCTGCTTACCTGCCTCCCATGAGCTTCTTAGTTGGAGTCCTCTGGGGGAGATGATCTCTAAAGTCTCCTCCATTTTTGACATCTGAGCATCCTGGAAAGGGGAGGGAGAGGGCATGTTGTTAGCCTGGCTGATTTCCTATGGAGAATGAAGGAAATTTCTTCCCAAGATGTCCTCTTTTGAATTGTGCACTCCAGTGATTTAAGAAAAAAAAAAATTAAAAGGATTGTGTCCTGGCTGCATTTCTGCCATTCTTTCTAGCTGGTGTGAGGGTGCGACACTGGAAGATGAGGGTTGGATGATGGTGGGTAAGAAGGCCCTTTCCTGCAATGTAGAATAAAGAGTTTGCAAGTGGGAATGTTAGATCACCTGGTCACTATTACCTGGGTGTGAGGCAGAGGTGGTTGTTTGGAATGCTCTCAAGTCTACACCAGATTAAAAATAATCTGATTAAAAACCCCCAGCATTAGCCATTCTAGCAGAGAATTCTGTTAGATGTATTGGTATTGTCTCCACCCAAGGGGATTTATTCCTTGAGAGCAAGAAAAGACCCTGTTTAACTGCATGTTATGTTAATAAGACTCCAAGGTGTACTTCCATTCTCCAATGCACAAGCAGTCTGCTTTCACTCCCCAGTGCTGGGTGTGATGAAATTACACTGCGTGGTGTTTTTCATCAGTTTGCCCTTCCCCCTGACAAATATCAGTAAGAGGGAATCGTGATGAAGATGCTTTTCATGTATAGTAGTTAGCTTTCTGTTACTATAACAAAATACCTGGGATAGTCAGCTTATAAAGAAAACCAGATTTCTTTTGGCTCACAGATTTGGAGGTGATCAATGGCCTCTGCTGTTTTAGGCCTCCGGGAAGGCAGCACATTATGGTGGGAGCATGTGACAAAAGTATTCACCTCGTGGCCGGGACATGAAAGGAGGGGAAAAAAAGAGACGAGGTTTTAAATTTTCCCTTCAAGGGCTCCCTCCTACCTAAAGACCTCCCAGAGTCCCCACCTCCCCACAGTGCCAAGCTGAAGATTGACTAAGGCTTTAGCGCAAGGGCCCTTGGGGATCTAGATCTTAAATGTATGTAAATGTCCTCTTTGGCTTAGTGACTGGGGTGAGGAGAGCAGATTCCAACTAGGACAAGCCAAACTCTAGAGAAGCAAAGTTTGTCTCTGGTGCCTTCCTCCGGCTTCCCTTACCCCAGAAACCTAATTC